GGTGTTATGCACAAACAATGAATCATGGAACACTTCATCTAAAACTAATGATGTAATGTATGGGGATTAACATAAGAATAAAAAAAAAAGAAATCTAGGATATATGGTTGCTACACACACACTCACACACGGACTCATTCAGTGGCGCACGCTGCTTCTGTTCCGTCTAAACTGGCAGTTCCTCATTTGGTCACTAGGTGGCACTTGGCCAGTGTCCGGCAAGTGTAAAAGGAAACTGATGAACGCTAGGATAAAAGGCCAAAGAGGAACTTACTTGCTCAGTGTTCACACACAACCTGGATGGGCAATCCCCTGGGGCCCATTGAAAGAAAGAGTTCATTTGGCTGAGCCTGTGCTAGGCTCCTGTGCTGGACTTGAGATGTTCGGGATTTAAAGGACTCTGAGATTTGGGCTAATTTCAGTACAGACACAGCAGGCCAGTCCTGGGAGGGTGCTGGACCAGATGCAAGCTGTCACAGCTCTGGGCCCCCTACGGACAGAACCAAGAGAGGGGTGCCTGGTCCCTCACGAATCCCAAGCCCAGCACGCGACTCAGGGTGAAGTGAGAGTATTCAGTGGATGGATACACATCTTTGTTCCTTAAAAATAGTTTCGAGGAGAAACCACTGTGTTCTAGAAATATCTGTCAGTACCACGCTTTTGAGCAGCTCAGGCAGGAGGTGAGCAGTGGCTGCTTCTGCTGCTGGCGGTGTTCTCTGGCACCGCCATACCCTGAATGTATGTTCGTGTCTTCCGCAGGTGCTCTTAGATCTTGCAAACGAAAGGATTTTGTCGTGCTGTGCTCCAAGAAAGCTTTTCTCTGAGACCTTAGATACTCCTGCTAAAATTTAAAAGGAGTATTGCATTAGATCTGCTTCTGTAGGTACCGTTGACTAAGCGTAAGGATGTAATCCAGAGTTTCGACTAGCTTTCAGAACCTGAATAGGATTTGGTATCTTTTGCAGTGAGTGTTTAACTGTCAGACTCTCTACACTTTACATAGCCTCCTAGAGAACTCCCGGGATCGGAGCCGCTTGCCCTGCACTAGCTGAGGCAGCTGCAATGGAAAGAATGTGGCTTTGGAGTCAATTCCTGGTTCTGGGTTCAAATCCTGGTGCTACTACTCATTAGCCCTGGATCTTCAGTAATTACATAAATCTTTTAATTCAGGTTTCTCATCTGCAAAATGAGGATGTTAATACTGACATTCTTCATTTATCTAATCAACCAACATATTTTTGAGTTCCTCGAGGACCTGACAATCTGGTGTGCATGGCAGACATGTCTCTTAGTGTTGAGCATATCAAATAAGAATGTACTTTTTATTTTTTTATATTTATTTATTTTAAAGACTCTATTTATTTGAGAGAGAGAATGAGACAGAGAGAGCATGAGGGGGGGGGGATCAGAGGGAGAAGCAGACCCCCACTGAGCAGGGAGTCCGATGCGGGACTCGATCCCGGGGCTCCAGGATCATGACCTGAGCCGAAGGCAGTCGCTTAACCAACTGAGCCACCCAGGCGCCCCAAGAATGTACTTTTTAAATTTTATTTTTTAAAAGATTTTATTTATTTTTTTATTTGAGAGAGAGAGAGCACACGAGCAGGGGCAGAGGGAGAGGGAGAAGCAGGTCCCTTGCAGAACAAGAAGCCCGACCTGGGACTCGATCCCAAGACCCTGGATCATGGCCTGAGCCAAAGGCAGACGCTTCACCGACTGAGCCCCCCAGGCGCCCCAAATAAGGTGGATGGATGATGGTGATGGCAGCATGATGTGTGAATGCATTTAAGGCCACTGAACTGTGTGCTTAAAATGGTGAAGGTGAACATTTTCATATTATGTGTATTTTACCACAATTAAATAAAGTAACA